CCCTTTTTTTTTTTTTTTTTTTTTTTTTTACCCATTTTTAATTTTTTTGCTGACAAATTTCCTTCTTTTTAACCCTTTTTTTTTTTTTTTTTTTTTTTTTTACCCATTTTTAATTTTTTTGCTGACAAATTTCCTTCTTTTTAACCCTTTTTTTTTTTTTTTTTTTTTTTTGTACAACACAGCAAAAGTAACGGTTTTGACGCTCTCTAGATAGCGCTGTATGTATGTGACCGAACCGATGAAAAAACCTGTATGGAGCAGCAGATTATACGACTGTAACTGGGGATGCGTTTGCTTTTAGTTGTCATTTTTGCTTTAGTCACCTGTTTCCAATTCACATGTAACAGCAAATCTTGGCTACACCGCAGTTTAAGTGCCTGTATTTAATGCTTCAGTCGGCCCTAAATTACACTTGATTAGCAGTATTTTAACAGCTGGGTTTTCTATGCAGGCTAAATTCCAGCCAAGCTTTTTGTTGTCTTTGATTCTGCTTCCCGTAAAGCAAGGCAAAGAGAAAGGAAAGATCCACCAGACGAAAGAGAAGAAAGTGTAACAGGTAGGTTTGGAGTTGAGGAGCACATGCTTTGCTCATCACGTCCTTGGAGAAACGCAGGATGATTGAATCATCGGGAAGCATAATGGCGTCATATGGTGCATGTGTGTTTGCAGGTTTTTTAAAAAAAAAGGCTGCAATATGGTAGACATCGGAAGGGGAGGCAGGAGGTTCTGAGTTGGTAGCCGAATGATTATCTTGTCAAATGCTTCAAACTTGAAGTTTTAACAAATCAATTAAATGTGTTTGCATTATACCCCACCTCAGATTTTGTAAACAAAAAACTTCTGATCATAAACTTGAGTCTGTTCCATCTAACTACTCATTTAAAAAAATTCCCAAACGGGGGACAGATTTGATTTTTTTTTTTTTCTTCCCCTTCAATTTGATATTCTAATGTAGCCGGTTAAAAAATTAACACAAATGATTGGGTTTAATTGTAAGATTTTACAGCGGCAGCATAAAAATTATTTTGATTTCATCATTCTAAAAATGACTCAACACCCAAAACACTACAGATTATATATTTTCCTCAAGATGAAGCTCGTTGTGGGGGGATTTTATTCCCCCTCTTTATACAAAGGAAATAATACGACCCAAATTGAGCCCAATTTTTGGACATATGTCCTCAAATTTGAGTCTAGATAAATTTCGTCTGACATGCCGAGAAAGTGGCTGTGAAATAATCCAAAACCATGCCGCCTCCGCCTCCATGCTTACCAGCTGGTGTAAGGTGTTTGTGCTGAAACTCCATACTTTGTTTTTCATCGTTACGGCTAAACACATTCCCTTTCATCTCAGGTTTGTTTGCATTTGGCATGCCAGGTGAGGTCTGTAAAGTCTGAGTTGCAGCTCCTGGGATTTTGCAGCTTTTCTAAACATTTTGTCAGAATAAACTGGTACGTCCTCTTCTCTGGAGACTGGAAAATGCCTGAAGTGTTTCGCACAAATGAATCATTTTGTCTGACTGAGGTGAAGTGACGAATTTCACAGCCTTTTGAAATTACTCCAATACGCTTTCCAGCTGATGGGCAGCAAAAATTGCTTTTCTGAAGTTGTTGCTGGGCGTCACAGCACTATGCAGCTCTTCTTTTATAATATGTTTTAATGTCCTTTTATCAGCAGTATATAGCTACTATTTAATACATATTGATAGTGTGGATGCTGCTGCGTTTGTCATTTTGACAGCATAAGAAAAATACCGGAAACACAATTCATAATTTTTTTTTTACCATATTTCTTAAAATTTGATTCTAAAAGCAATAAAATTCATATTTTCATGACTACACTACAAGAACCACACCCACATTTGACTTTCACAAAAAAAAAAGAAAAGAAGCACAACGTTTCAAATAGTTTATATAAAAAGGATTTATTGAAGTGAATGGGAGAGAAAAAGAGAAACAAAATTTGGATGATGACACTGGATTTATCAGAGTGAAACTTTTCCGAGGTGGGCCAATTCCACCGTTGCACTTTACCGAGAGCAAAGCCCAATTCATCGACTGTGTTAAATTTTTTTTTTTTTTTTTTACACTTTGAAATAACATATTTAAATGCGTATGCACTGCAGTTGTAACTTCCAATTAACACCAATTACTTCTCTACACTAACACCACCAGCTCAAAACATGGTCACCTTCATGTGCCCCCGAAAAAGAAAAAAGAGGATAAAAATAAAAACATGGGGAAAAGCAAACAAAAAAACCCAAAAACAATAAGTTCTGATGGCAAACATTGTCTTCTCATGGAAGGATTATGCATATAAAGTTCAAATCCAAGAAATTTCACACTGCGCATTTTAGATAAAGCAGCATACATATTTAATATTTTATTACAATTCATAGTTTCACCTCAGTTGTCTGTTCAATGTCTGCCGTCATCAAAGAGAATACAAAAAAATAGATTTGGTCATTATTTACAAGAACACGTAATTTCCGAACTATCAAAGCTGAGGGTTTCAGGAGGAGGAGCGGCTTTGACAAAGGCAGACATGTTGGTGCCATAATTTGTTTTTTTTTTTTTTGTTTTGTTTTGTTTTTTCCTTTTAAAAAAAGCCCTGCCAGGGTCACACTGTGCACGTTCAGACAAAAAGGTTCACACCAGGACAGCAGAGAGTATTGGCTTACCGGTGACACTACAAATACATAACTTACATCATAAGAGAAACAAAAAAAAAATAAAATTATGATGCAAAACAATACATTTAAGACAAGGAAATGATAGCCATACATGAAATCCAGTAGTTGACTTTAAAATGTATAAGACATGCACTCTTTTTTTTTATTATTATTATTTTTGTTTTCGAAGGGGAAGCCTTTTAAAATGCATAAGTTATCTGAAACTTGTCTTACATAAACAGTGAGAAAACAAAGCGATTTTCTTTTCAAAAAAATTTTTTTTTTTTTTTTTTTATCTCTGCTATTGTTTACTTTTACAAAACAGGTGTCCACAAAGCAGGTAAAAGTGGACCGTAGAGACTGGAACATGGGATTATTAGAGGTGCGGGAAGCAGTCCCGTCGACCTGACTGGCCAATAATCAAAAAATAAAAATTCAACAAAAGAAACACTCCTACTGCAATATGAAACTGGGAGGAGGAGGGGGCAGGGAGGTATTTGGGTTTGTAGGGAAGTGACCAAGAGAAACAAGTTTTAAAACAGTTCACAACTCGGCTTACGCGGGACTCTCAGTCGTCTTCGTCTTCCTCCCCTTCTTCATCCAGGTTCCGTTTTCTCTTTTGACCTCGCTCTTCTTCTGGAAAATAAGAGTGAAATTAAGCTTCCTACTGAAAATCGGGTGAATTTCCCTTCAAATTTGGTGCATTTTTCATCATTGTTGATCTATTTTCTGAATACGGTGCAGTAAAAATGAAGCAGGTTTAGCCCAACAAGTCAAAGGCAGCCCCCCCTCATGTCATTTTGCACTTGTCACTGGGCAAGATAAAACTTTAGTGAGATGGAAGTAGGTCTCTGATGGGGTTATCTTTTAGATTTTTATTTTATTTTTTAGTGGTTCTATCTTTTGTCCAGTTACAGTAGCAAAAATGAGGATGCCAAGATTCAGTTTAGCTCCAAATCGCCACTTCTACTGTTGTTCTGGTTGTGGCCCAGTGATTTAACTTTAGTCAGTGAGTTTTTTCAAATCAATTAGTTGGAAAAAACTTGGGGGGGGGGAGGCATAAACTATTGCGTATTAAAATAGAAACATCTTCACAACTCTGTCCTTTTTTATTTTGCACAACCAAACCAGTGAAGAAATGTTTTGCTGTGAGTGCTAATTGTAGTGAAACATATAAACAGGATAATCAGAGTGAAAGTGGGGAAAAGTTCAGGTGTATCGACGATCTCCACTTGTACTTACCTTCTTCATCTTCATCATCAACCTCTTTGTCATTCAAGTCTTCCTCTTCCTCCTCCTTTATTCAAAGAAAAGGGTGAAAAAAATGAGAGGGCCTTCCTCCAGCTATGCTGTGATTTGAAAAAAAAAAATAAAAAAAAAAATACATACACATATGCGTACGTAATCGAATAAAAATCACCCACCTCCCCACTCAGGTCCTCTTCCTCCTCTTCTTCGTTTTCCTCTTCATCATCCTCTCCCTCTTCGTCTTCCTCGTCTCCAGGCAGGGCGTCCTCGTCATACTCTTCCTCATCTACATGTTGGTAAAAGCAAATGTTTAAAAGTCAAAATTGGTAACGTAAATGGTGCTAAAAAAGAAAGAAGAAGAAGAAGAAGAAGATGAAGCCATCATCTTGAACTGCCTTACACTTACCATCTTCATCTTCGTCTTCATCGTCTAAGCCCTCGGCGTAGACCTCGGCATCGGAGTCGGGGGCCTCCTTGTCTTCTTTGTCGTAGCCGTCTAGGTACGTGAGCTGCGGTAAGAGCTTGAACACGTTGTCTCTGTACTCGTTCAGATTTGTTACTTCACAGTTGAACAGATCGAGGCTTTTCAGGGACCCCAATTCTTTCTGCCAGGAGGGAGCAAAACGGTTAAATGGACGCTTTAGACAGATGCATTTCCTCCACGGACGTGTTTGCAGCGAAGCTGTTTACAGGATGCACAGAGCTGGAAAGCTAAAAAAAAAAAAAAACCTGGATTTTTTTTTTTTTTGGCTTAAAGTTTTTAAATTAAGAATAATGCAGCTCTGCCCCTCCCACACCTGCTGCTGATTAGCCAAATGAAAAAAGTTGAAGTCAGCTATTTTATATAAACTATAAAAAGACATAACCTTTTTCCCCCCCTTACATTGATGTGGATTCAGAATAAATCCTTTCTATTTTATGGCAATCATTACTAAAATACTTTTATTTACCAAATGATAGAAGAAATATAGATTTTTTTTTGACAGAATTCATTACTTAAAATACAAATATTTACATGTACTAAAATTACTGTGCTGCTCAGGACAGAGCAGGCTTGAACTTTGAACTTTCTGTGTTGCTGAAATGTGTTACACAAATTAACTGTTATGACTTGTGCACTTCACACACAAAAAAAAAAAAAAAGATGAAATCCCAAGGACAGACATAGTAATGTCTGATTTTATGGATTGTATCTAAATACAACAGCCTATGTCCAGAATAATGGGGAGAATAAATATGCGTTGGTATTTACTCACCAATGGTTCTATTGTGCTAAGATCTTTTATCTTGTTCCCGCTGAGATTCAGATGCGTGAGGTTCGGACATTTGTCCGCCAGAACTTCTAGCCCTCCTGAGATCCGGTTGTCGCTGAGTTCAAGCTGGTGAAGCAGTTAAAACCCATTAAAACCGATACAGTCTGGAGTTTTACCCTCGTTCAAGGCTAGAAAGACCTCACCTTTTTGAGTTTCTTTAGCTTCGGCAGATGAGCAACTGTTGTCAGACCGACATTGATTGTGCTTAGAAATTCCAGCTCCTCAAACTCATCCGTTAGACCCTCGATCTTGCCTTCGTTTGAGCGACAGTTGTCCAGCACAAGCTCTTTGACCTGCAGAACAACACATCTGGTTAGTGTTTATCATGAAACTTAAAGTGAATATGTGAAAAGATCATATGCGATGGGCAGAATATTTCAAGTACTTTGCAATGCTACAAATGGACCAAGATTGAATTAAACAAAAAAAAAAAAAGTGCAAATGTGCTTGTGTCATTTTTTGTTTTATAGAACAGGTCATTTTTAAATGTCAGCCACCCACCCTGGGCCTGCATAGCCCCCACCCAGCCCCTTTCATATCTAGGCAGAACATATTAAACAACATATTTAAATAATTGTGGACCTTACATTTGTTGGGGCAAAAGATGCAAATCAGCTGATTTTTGGTCTTATTATTAGGGGCTTATAATTAAGGCTTTGTTTAAAATAACGTTTTATTTTTAACCTAAATGTTCAAAGTTCAGCAGTTACTTTCTTGTGTGCGCATTTCTTTTATTTGTTACATAGTACACTGCACAGTACACTAAAACTCAATGATAGACTCTTCTGACACAATTCAACCTTCCTCCAAATAGAGAGCTCAGGCAGAGCTCTGTCATAAAGATGATAAAATACCGTCGCGGTCCTTGAAAGGAAAGATAAACATGGGGTGTGGCCATATTTGGGGGAGGACGAAATGGAAGTTGAGCCAGTTTTTTTTTTTTTTTTTTTTACACTTTCGACTTTACTTTAGTTGACCTTACGATGTTAAGCAGAGAATTGCGGTCACAGGTGTGCTGTTATCTGACATTTCATTTGGACCTTGAACGTGTCTCTGCCCATCAACAACAGTCAGCGGTCAGAACATATCTCGCCGCTCTAAATATCGCGATGTCTTGGGTCTTCTTTCATTACGTAAATAATAATACATTTAGATCTATTTTTAAGACAAGCCGATCAAAAGTACGCCTGTGCTTATTTGTGAAGTTGTTGATTGAACAGTAGAACAGGAGGAGACGTGCGTGTTTGGTTTCCGAGCGGCGTAGATGTACATTTTGAGAAAAGAAAGCAGTGGGAGCTGAGCAGGTCTACGAGTCGTGTACAGGGTCATTTGTGAGTAGGAGGGGCCGCTAAAGCCGATTAGATATCCGCCAGGCAAACGTTTCATTGTTGCTTCACCTAAAGCGTTGTCGGTCGGGACTAACGACGAGTGTAGACCGCTAATAAGATGAAGGTATGATAAACCGTTCGTCGTTCGTGTCAAAAGGACGGGGTTTCGGTGTGTTTCGAAATGCCTTTGTTTCTGAGTAAAATGGCGGCTTGTCCTAGTTCTGAAAAACTGGAGCAACAACAACGCGGCTGGAGCGCCTTTTCCAAGTTAGTCGACTGGTTATTCCTAAAAAGAAAAACAAAACGTCCCCCCACGGTGGTTTACACCGACCCCGGGCGAGTTTATGGTTCGTCCCTACTTGTGTTCGCCCAGCCTGGCGGTTGTTGACGGTCCGTACCGAAAGCGCGTTGTTTCGGCCATCTGTACGCACTGTGGAGGCTTTGGTGGAGGCTGCACGCTTTGCAGCCTCCACCATTACAAGCTGCTTAACGTTTCAATGCACTCCATGCCGAAATAACCCATTTCACCTGGCCGGTTTCGGGTACAGTTCCTACAGGTTGTGATCTTTATGCATCGTTTGATAATTTCCATGACTTCCAGTATGCGCATCCGCAACCCGCCAAGTGCACGACTTAAAATATTTAGGTGGACGAGTTTACCGGTGAGACCCGCAGATACCCCACAAAACAGTCAGCAAATGAGAACAAGGCTGGGTACTGGAGAGGAACCGGGGTTCGCAGACGAAAAGTTACAAATATGGCTCCTCGTTGCTTGCCGTGTTTATAAAAACTGTGCTGCATTCTGAAAATGTTGGAGCGGCGCAGAAAGTTGGAAGCAGAGGACCTGTCGAGTGTAAACACGAAGCCAAAAGCAACAATGTGACCCCACGTCTCCATCATCTTTTAACTTGGAGGAAACTTTGTATCCCCCTCCCCACGCCAAGACATCACACGAAATATTCTCCATTAGGCAGCGTGAAAACATCGCAAGAGGAGATGCGAGGCCAACTTACGTCCGACGGAGTGCGGTTCCGCAGCTCCAGGTGAATTCTTTTCTTCATGTCCATCCTTGATCGGCGCTCAGATGATACGATACACACTTTTAATAATTACTGCAAATGCAACTACCACCTCAGGAACAGAATGCTGCTGTTCATTCAAACTTGATCCGCTCGGTGGGCGGCAGCACGTTTCAGGATTGTCGTCACCGCCGTCCAATGGGAAGAGCCGATTAAAGAGGGAAGGGATTTACAGACGCACAGCCCAATGAGGCCGCGCTTATACAACTGGGTGGGGTTTTGTTGTGAAGTTAGGTTGTTTGCTAACCAAAGTTTACATAGAATTAACGATGCTGGGAATGTATATACAGTTTTCACCCCCACTAATAAAACTGCATACGTATCGAAACCTGTGTTAAGTTTGATGATTATGTATGAAGTTCACGAATGTTGTTTTTAATTTGGATATATGTGTTCTGATAAACGAAGCCCCCTCAATGGAAAACAAAACAACGACATTAAAACTGGATATTATAACATAAACAATAAAATAAATAAAAAACTTCTATTCAAATGATTACCAAGTTAATAAAAATAATTCTGAAACGATGCACAAAATGCAAACATTTTATTTTAAAAACAACACACGAGCATTAGACATAATTTTAAGCCCACATTTGTGCATTAAAATGTTCTTATTTATTGCCTTGATGTAATCCAGTTTTAAATGTGTTTTAACTGTAACCGGACAATCATAATTATAATAAAGGCTTAAAAACAACAGTGTGTGTAATTAATTTATATCATGTTTCACTTAGTGAATTGACTTAATAAAATAAATTGACTTTTCAGTAAGATTTTAAATTACTGTTGGAAGGGGTGACAAAAATGTTGCATCAGAAAAATAAATGTATAGATTATTTTGGAGACATTACAGATGGTTATTCCTTGCAAGGGTTTAAAACAAACTTTAGGGTAAGTATTTTTAGTAAATTCCAAATTCCCACACTATAGTATTAATATATTTCCAAATTTTCATCAGAGTTAATGGTTGCAAAAGGCAGCAAAGAAAAAAAAAAGCTGTTTTGAATAATTAAACTTTAAGAATCACTTTATCTAGATTGACCTTCCATTGAATCAGTGTTGAAGTAGATGAACAGATTTTTTTTTTAATAAAATATTTTTGAAAAAAAAAAAAACTCAGTTTATTGAGTTGGTATCAATTTTCTCTTCACTTGTTAAAATTTTAAAAAATAAAGCCACGTTGGTGCTGTGCAGCATTTCTCCATGAGGGGGCAGCAGGGAACTCGGTCTGTGAGTCCCGCTGCCCTCTGCTGTCAGAGATCACAGGGCATTACCTACTGGACACCCCTTTCTTCCTTCAACACCGTGTTTGCACTTCAAGCAAACGATTCAGGTGCATTAAAACCTCGATATCCATAAATTTGCTCTAAGCAGCTGTTTTTTCTGAACTATTCCCATTTACCTTTTATCTGACACCCAGAATGCACATTAATCCTGTCCTTAGTGATGGGTGCTGAGCCTTCAGAGTATTTATTTATTTATTTTTTTGCAGTATATGTATTATAAAGTGCTGATTTGCTGATTGTTATGCTATTTTTGACATGCTGTGATGTATTTATGGACTGGGAGAAACCATCATTGAGACTAAGACTTCATTTGTAACTGAACTACAATTATTTTGGGCACAGCATAACTTCCCATTCAAGGTTTTGGCCTGGATGTTTGAAAAACGATGAGCCCTGGAATGAAGAGGCAGAGTCGTAGCTGTCACTGTCACCCTTCATGTCCGCGTGTGATCAATCTGACACCGTAGCTTTTCACTGTAAATTACAATATTGTGACCAACGTGTCAGTTTCTCATAACTATTTCCACACTAACTCCCTGCTCCTCTCTGTTGCTCATGAAGTACCAGAGCAGCACACATCCATTCTTTGAAAAAAAAAAAATGCTTAACGAGCATTCAACAGTGTAAAAGTAAAGTAAATCACATATTGTAACACTTAACCATTAGCTGTGTAGGGTTGTGTATAACAGATAAGATGTAATTCATCATTTTCATGAGAATAAAATGGCTTGTCCTTGTAGGTTTCTCAGGGTCTGATGTCCAGCAGACACTGGGTGACAGGTGGGGTACATCCTGGACAGGTGGCCAGGGCAACACAGTCACACCTCAGGACAATTTGGAGAAACCAAATATGCAAACAAAATACCAAAAAAAAAAAAAAAAAAACCCTCCAAGGAGAAGATTCTTGGACATTCTTCCTTCAAGGCAACAATGCTTAAAGCTGCTTCAACATGCAGCCCCTTCATGGATTGTAGTCAGAAGGAGAAACTAAAAATATACATTACAGTTGCAGCGCTACAACACAGAATATCACCAAGACGTCTCAGGCATATGTAGGTTAATTACACAGTGTAAAATAAGACATTTATCCACATATGTTCTCTTACTAATATACACCAAAATGGTATTCAGTAAATACATTTCAGTCTAATGAAAAGTATAGTCATACACAGTAAAGTGAATGCTTGCTTCTTTTGCTCGAGTTACTGCATCAGTGCTGTGTACCATGGCAACCATCATTGTGTGGTGATGCTGAAGAGAGCCGAAGAAGTTCAAAGAAGGCAAATGCTACCATTAGTCTTCCTAAATGTTTGTCTTTCGAAAAGCTATACTATTGTTGTATTGGTCAAGTTTTATTTGGTCATTAGTTTGCCCTATATTGACTAATTTTTTAATGACATCTCAAATATATTCAACATAATCTTTAGCTAGATGCAAAGTAAATCAATTAATGTGCAGCTTTGACCCTTTTGAAATTGAATAACTTCGAGGTAATATTAAACTAAGATGTCATTGATGAACATGTTTGGTACGGATTATTTGGAAAATTGTTTTACTAATCGCAGAAAGGTCAAATTCTTCTATGGTAAATTGAAGGTTTTCTGTAGTTTTTAGATAAGCTGCATTTAATTACATAGAAAGAATGCAAACAAAATGAACAAAAAACAACTGCATTAATCAGCTATTCAGTAGTAGCTGCTAATAGTTACATAAATATTAACAGCTGTCATTTTATGTTCTCCTAATCAGACTGTTTCTCTGTACATCTTCACAAGCAACAAGTATTTCTTTGTCATTTATATTAAGTGTATATATACAATGAAGCAAGATGGATAACTCCTCACACGGAGAATTCGAATGCATATTTACCTGGTAGGTCAGATGAACAACACTTCAAAGTGTTGCTTGGTCTTGTAAATTGAGACCTATTCAACCAACTACGTGACATTTGGAAGAAAACAAAACAAAAAACCCCCACAGAGGTTCCTGTCATGGGTCCAGGCATTCTGCTTGCATGTAATCAAATCAAGGCCACCTGGCTCTTTCTGAAACGTTCTGTAAAACTCCACTCCAACTTCAATATTTATTTATTTTTTTCCAGTTCATCACAAAATGATTTTAAAGGGGGAAAAGGCACCAAGATGTTCAACCTTTACCAGATTATTTAAGTTTCCTCATGGGGCTCTTTAATTCAGCCCAGAAAGCCTTAATATAATTAGTCGCATCTGTGCTACTACAGAACTGGTTTCGTCGCCAGCAGCAGACAAATAAATAGAAACACCTGCGCACCGGCGTGTATACTTTCTATTAAATCTAAATGTAAAACCGGCAGAAAAGTTTACAGGATAACATTGGAATTGTAGGCAACAATAAACACATTTCTAAAAAGTGAAAATAAACTCACGAGATGTAGCTCCCTGCGTATCATGCTTGTAATACAACCAACTCGCCAGAAGAGGGCGACATTTACCAAAAGGTGAAGTTAGAAAAACAATATTCTCAAGTTATTTCCTTAATCGTACCAGTAGGAGATGTTAACAACAAACTCCATTAGGCAAATATATTATTAATTTTACCCTGTTTGCCTTGTAGGAGTAGTTCAACAAGCTTTCTTCTCAACACGTCTGAGCATTAAATATATTTCTCTGCTTTTTCTTTCCACCTTCTTCATAACCTCCAGTTTAACACACAGCAGATGTTGCATTCAATACCACAATGCAACCTAGTCGTAATAAAATCTTCCCCCACCAGCTGCCTGTGGATTCGACAAAAATTGTGAGCAGAGCACGTTAAAGTCGTAAAGTTTTCTTCTTCTGCAGCTCGAAAAAAATTCAGAGACTTTGCCTTTAGGCACAAAGTTCAGGCAGGTGCGTTTGATGATGTGGGCAGCGTAAGCAGCTGCTGGCCTGCTAAGACTTAATTTAATTTACAGAGTGAGGCAGGACTCAGACAAGTGGCTGAATAGCTGTGCTAACAGTTAGTTTATTGTTCATTGGTCTTTGACAATCAAAAGAGGAAATAATGGAAAGCATTTTTTCAGCAAGTCAAATCTTGTTTGTTGTATTTTCAGAGCATTATGACACATTTGAGGTGGAATAGCTCTTAAACTCAAGAGGGCAATAACTTTTTTTTTTTTGGAAAATCCCTATAGAATTGTTTTTTAAATTATTTTTGCTGCAAGCAACAAGTAGATGGATGGATCTTCAAGACTGAAAATAAGTGTGGAAAAAAAAAATCAAAATTTAAAAATTGTTTGAAAACTTTAAGAAACTCCATAGAACTACTGATCTATGAACCATTTGTAAAGGTTACATTAAAGTCAGGGCCCTCAGAAGTGGGAATGATATTTCCCAGTGAAAGTTTTTGAATTGAAAGCTTTGCACTCTGCAAAGGCGCCTAGTCAGCATGTTTTATTTTTGGGTTTCCTTCACTTCCTGCTTTGTTAAATTTATCTTCTTCAGGTTCCTAACATACTCTCCACCTCCCCCCATTCTTATATATACCAGCTAAACTCTGCATCTAATATTCCTCCTTCTCTGTGTGGGTTCTGCTCTGCCTGATGATCCTTTAGACCTCTGGGTCTGAAGAGAATAATCAGAGTTAGCTGTTAGGGGACTGAAGTTTAAAAAAATAAATAAAATCTTATTTTGATACCGACCAGACTGATGTCTGCAAGTCCTCCATCTGGTCAGGTCTGCAAAGCAACCCTATTGATGTCACTGATGTGCTTTCATTTGATAGCTCTTCTCTTTTTAAGAGGCCTGACAGTTCTCGTCGAAGCGGAGTGCGGGAGCTCTCGCCGTGTTTCGGGAACACGCGGAGCCGCTCGCCTCCTATCGGGAACATCTCGGGTCAGACCTGCCTTTCATAAAACAGTTAGCGTCTTGTAACCTGCTGCAAAATTAAACCGCTCCACGACGCCTGTGAGAACGACGAAAGCAAGAGCAAAACGAGCGCTCGGGTCCGGCGCTGTCGGTAGGCATCCATTATTGATGTTAATTGATGCTGGCAGTTTGGAGACAGTGCCTTGTAATGCAACACCCATCGAGAACAGGAGGATGATAAACACGCCGCTCGCGTCCAGCGTGCATGCTAAAGAGGCGGCTGGTGAGACTCGTCCTTGTGACATAAACCTTTACCGGAGAGGATGACTGCGACTCTCTTTGACGGAAATTTATGTCACTGCTGCCTATATACATACACACATGCGTTTACATCTGTCTGAACTTGGAGTGCTTTACATAGTGGTTGTTCAAAGAAAAGATGGGGAGAATTCAAACACCTTCGCCCCCCACCACCACATTTTATCACATGGTAAAAGGGGGTGAATGAGATGCACAGGAAAGAGAGAGAGAAAAAAAAAAGGTCACATGCATCTTGATGATGGCATTGCACTC